ACCAAGTCTTTTAGAAGGAAGGAAGGAAGGGAGCTACTATTTTTTAAGGGCCTTTTTTGTGCCAAGCCCACAGGCTGGGCACTTTCCATACATTATTTAACTGAATCATAACAGTGCTGCAAGGTGTTATCTCTCTTTCATAGGTGTGGAAACAGATGCAGAGAGGTTAGGTTTCCAGGGCCCCACAGCAAAGTGGTGGAGCTGGGTTCTGGTCCACGGCCTTCTGTCTCCACTGGGTAACACTCCCTGTACCTTCTCATTGAAGCCCCTGGGCTGGAGGGTCCAAGAGCATCGCTTCAGTTCTGCATTTCATTCATTACCCACTTGCATCAGGACAGATACATCGCTACTAAGCTCTCAGAGAAGACACCAGATGCTGTCTGCTCCCAAGGAGCTTCTACTTTTGGTAGTCGGGTTAACTTGTATCTGTGCCTGTAGAGATTGCTCTTTGGAAAAAGCAGCAGGAACATTCTGATAGAAGGCAATGGACAGGAGAGATGGGTTGGAATGAATTGGATTTGCCAGCACCTGGCCACTGCCCAACCTGCTCTCAATTCTCGGATGATTCAGGCATTGAGCAGGGAAGGTAGCAGAGCTACTGTTGCCTTCCCTTTGGAGAAGCCTGTTTCTACTTTGAAACTCTTAAGGGATTCATTTCAAATTAGTGGCAGGCCTGGGTTAGTGGATCTGTGTGCTTTCTTCTGCCATCTTGATTTCATCTCCCCCCTTCTCCTTTTCCTTTCATTTGAAAAGATGCAGCCCCTTAGAGCCTCACTTTCCTGATTTGTCAAATAGGGAGCCTAATGTACAAGGCTTTTGTGGGGCTTAGAAAAATATGTCAAGAATCTGACATGGATCTCAATAAACAGCACAATAATTATCTTTTGTCCCAGTTACAAACCCCCATTCCTGTACTGCCCAAATCTCTATGATTTACAAATTAGAACCCTGCTGCTTCTGCTCCATGGCAGACACCTTAATCCAGGCACCCTCCCCTACCACCTCCTTCTCCTTATGGCCATTGGCTTTTAGGAGACAGACACTGCTTAGCGGGAAAGCTGTCACCTGCTTTCTTCTGAACTATCCCAAACTTGATTCTCTTTGGGCAATGCATACACCCATCAAGTGGTAAGGAGGACTGGGAACGAGGGGAGAAAAGACCCTGGGCTTATTGCTGGGGCCAGTAGGTTGGGAGTGTGGTGGTATATGTGTGGCTTTGGCTGTCAAGTGGATCTAAGTTCAACCCTAACTACACTAACTTTCCAGCTGTGTGACTTCAGCAAATGGGTTCATCTCCTCAAGGATTCACTTCCTAGGGAGCCTTTAAATTTCCCCGGGTGATTCCAGTGTGCAGCAGAGGTTGAGAGCCAGCGCCCTCTACTCTCACCCCGATGCCCAACCAAGTCATTGCCAGTCTCCTCCTTTAGCATCACCCATGGTGCTGCGATGTCTGCTGATGCAGCATGCCCCTTTGTGCCTGCTCTGCCCATAACATTCTCAGGAGCTTGCTGGGCAGCACAGATGTTTGGTGTGCATATTAACACAGCTGTGGGGATCTTTCCTGCTCAGGTTTGGTGGCTAATTTATAGAGCAATTCTGTCAGGATTATCATCAATCCCTCTTACAGGCACTGCTTTCTCTGTTCAAATGTCTCACCTGTGTGTGCTTGTGTTTGCCTTTTAGCTATTACTGTGATGATTCCCACTGTAGTAGACACTGCCAGTGACCACTACAATATCCAATCTCCTCCTTTTCCTCACTAACAACCCCTACATTGTTGGGGGCTGCAGTGTGCTCAGCTAAAACTAACGATTGCAGTCACATTTTCCATCCTCCTATGTAGGGGTAGCCAATGAGCTGTACGCAGAAGTTGTGGGGTGGAGCTTCCAGGAAAGCTCTTAAAAGTTTGCCTTATTCAGCTAGACAATGCTTCCATCCTATGGTCCTTACCATCTTTTCTAATGCCTGGAATATGTGTGTGCTGGAGGATGCTCCAGCAGCCATTTTGTGACAATGAGGCATTCTTGAGGCTAAAAGCCACTTCCAAAGGATGGCAGAGTAGAAATACAGAAGGATCTTGAGATTTCAATGATATTATAAAGCTACAATTCCAGCTCTGTACTGCCTATCTCTGAAGTTCATGTTACATGAGGGAAAATTCAACCCCTACCTCGTTTAAGAGATTGTTATTGCTGGTCTTTGCTGCTAGTCCTTTAGTTCAATTCCTAACTGATACTCCCCAAAACAAACCTGGTGAATAACAGCAATTCAACAAATGTCACCGACCCCTGAATCTCTGCCTCCTCTACCCACTCACCCCAGCCGCAAACACTCTGTTTTCCTGATGAGTAACTGGGTATCTAGCTGTGAGGTTGCTGAAGCTTCGTGGAATCTCAGAAAGTCATAAAGCTACTAAACGAGTTCACAAACAAGTGATGCATAGACCACACCCAGCCCACAGATGAGTTCTGTGTGGCTCACACTTATTTTTTAAAACAGAGTTTGCTGCCAACACTTCAAAACCCAATGATTTTGCATAAAAATCCAGATTTATTAGAAAATCTGTGGCCCTTTCTGCCTGGCAACAACCATCTGCAACTCGGCAGCGGTTGCCCCTGAGATGAGTCACAGTTCCCACCCCACTCACTCATGTCACCTATATGGCTTGGAAGGCATGTGAGTTTGCAACCTGCTCAAAGCCACACCCCAGAAACGGCCTGCTAAAATGGGATTCCAGAATCCACTTGCACCTTTCGTCTTTCTCAGTCTCCCCTGACTCAACACAGCACACTGGCATTGTTTTTTTTCCTCTCAGAAAACTGAGCATGCACTTTTGAGAATCAGAGAGAAATCCGCCTCTCAAATGTCAGAAAACAGCTGATGCTGCCTCTTACTTGGGGGCCTCTTGACTTCCCACGTGTCTTACTGCCACTTGAGAGGGAGGGCTGCAGGCAGGCAGGCTCCCTGGGGAGCAGCTGTTGGGATGCTTGATTGAGGCACTGCGACATCCAGAGGACAATTAAATTGGGTATTGAATATGAATTGCTTTGAATGGTTTTTATTACCACATCGTGAGCTGACTTTGGTTGTAAAATCTGACTCCATCTCTTGCTCTTACTGTGGTGATGAGACAGAACTTCAAGATGTCCTAAATAGTGGGGCTTGGAACATGTCCATTAGCTCGTCTGTACTCTGATACCTGCACTCCTCCACTGTCTGAACCAAGTTAGAAGCCCTGATTAAACCTCCGTGGCTGCAGTCACCACCTTCCGCCGGGTGACCCCATTGGAGATGACAAATGAAGGATCTCTTATTTCAGCCTGATGTGTAAGTCTTCACATCACTGGTCATTAACTACTCTTGGAAAATTAAATGCCCATTGCAGCTTTTTTTTTCCCCCCCAAATATAGGTCTCTGAGGTTTTGGAGAGAAAAACAACTGTTTTAATAATAATTTGTAGCTATGATTTTTGATGAGTTGCACACTGAGTGCAATATGTTGGCTGTAGAATGATCACCTTTGCAGAAGCAACTCTAAGGAAACTGATGCCATGCTAAGCACAGAGTGAGTTCTCAATAAGTAGACTGACTTGAGCTGAAGACAGAAACAGTTAAGTAGAGGTGGCATTCCCCTGGTTGGCACCAAGGTCTCAGGGTTATTTCAACCACAAAAATAAGTTCCAGCTCCTAGCTACTAACGGAGTCACAATATGCAGCATGGTGACGGTCAAAAGGCCTGAGCAAGTTCAAAGCACCGTCTCTGCCTGCTTTGGAACTGGTTTCTGTGGGAAGCAGGACTTTGTTGGTGGGGCAGGCAGATGCTTGTGTCCATTTGCCTACAGGCACGGACAGCAGTAAATGTGGGGCTGCCTGGCTGACTGTTGGGGAGAAAGGACTGGAGCATGGGGTGGCTCAGTAGGGCCTTGCTGCATGTAGGCTCTGCGCTGGCTGTGTTGGCTAGTCACCCAACTTTATTTCAAAAAATGTTTCGAACCTTCAGATCGACTAGCCTATCTAAAAAGAGAACTTAGAAATTTATTATTTTTTTTAAGTCTTCTTCCTACAGATTTCCTGAAAACGGCCATTATATTCTAATTCTCTTGAGGCTAGACCACTTATCAAATTTTCATTTCTTTTCAGAAATAATTAGGAATGATGCTACCTTGAATCCCCAGGTGTGAATTTTTATTGATTTTTGAGGATTTGGTCACGTGTTCCTTTATCCAAGCCTGTCTTCTGCTCCATCTTATCCAAACATTGAACCAGCAATATTCCCAAGTATTCCAACTTGAGGAAATCTTGTGTGTCTTGAGAAAAATCATTTCCATGACTTATTAATGAACTAACTAGGAATAATTTTCATAGGGTTCATTCACTCAAATTTGTCATAGAATACAATTTAAGAAGAAATAATTAAATAGAATAATTGAATTCAAGTCCTTTTTTGAGTAATGTTAGCATTCAATGACCCCCCCCTGCCCATGGTTATTGAAGTTATCAATGTGTCAAATTTCCCCTTGAAGAAAATCAGCTGCAAATCTCTTCGTCAATGCATGGGCCGACTCTCGTCTGCTCCCTGTAGGCCTAGTCCTTCCTTTTTCCTGCCCTGCGCTGGTCTATGGGGCTGCTGTGTGTGTAGGAAAAAATGAGAGGACTGATGACCATGTAGATAATGTTTTTCCAAACATACCATCGATGCTGTGCTAACAGTGATCCAGTTTGGTGATCCTTTCTCTTTTAGAGATGCCTGTCTTGACAATTCCTCCGTACAGTCTGCTTTAATATTTAAAAGAAGGCAGTGGGGGCTTAGGGCTGAAATTAAAGTTTCAGAGGCCTGTGTATCTTTCTCAGACTAGTTGAACTTGGAACTATGCAACTTTTCTTAACAATTTTGCCAATTAAAAAAGTCCCTTTAGCTGTAGATGCTGAGAAGTCTGGGCCTTTGGTTCTGCTCCTAAATGGGAGTGGGGAAGGTGCTCACAGAACGATGCCAAGCACCACTGCTGTACAACTTCTGTTTTATTTTTGTGTGCTTTTTTTTTATAGGATATAAATAATGACAAAAATTACAAAATTTATAACTGGAAGCCCAAGCTTATTTACACATATGCTTCTGTTTCAGCAAAGCTCCTACTGACTTTGCTCCTATACAATTGCCTCCTGGTACCATATTTTAGTGTTATTTAACTCTCAGTTTGCTACATACATATCAACAGTGAATAGGCAAAATATATACAAGGAACTGTTCAGTTCAAGTAATTTAATATTGTATTAAAATTCTTCAACACTGAACTAAAACCATATACATTTGTTAGTTTGAAATAAAATGTAGTTATTCTTCAAAACTCACCAACTGATGAATGTAACTGATCATTAGGTTTAAAATAATATCAGTTAATAAAAAAACATTAAGACAATTCCACAATTTATCAATATCGCTATAATGAACTTCAAAATGATTCACAATATGATTGTTAGAACAATATACATTAAAATGTTATTTTTTTCTATAATGATATTGGTACTGTTTATATAATTTGATTCTACATAAATATACATTATGGTATCATACAAATACTCCACAGAGACATTAAAAAATTAAAATACCTTAAAGAAATGTAAGTAAATTTTATTTAATCAAATAGTAAGCAAACTTTTTTTTTTTTTTTTTGTCTCAAGAAAAGTTTTATTACTTTGGAATTTCTTCTTTTTTTTGTATTTATTTTTTCTAGAAAAAGAAATTTTTGCAATAGAATTTTATTAACACCTTTCTCAAACAAGGTTTCCATGACAGAAATCTTGACAGCAGGAGCACTAGATTTTTTTTTTTAACATGTTCTTTAAAACACTGTGAAGATTAAAAAAACAATCTTGGCAGGCTGATGGCTGCCTCAGCACTTTCGGGCCTCCTGCTCTAGGGAGCATCACCACTATTTTGCCACCACTGAGCCAGTCCTCTTGGTAGTAGCAGTAGAAATTTAATTATTTGAAATGAAACCAGAAACATCCCTCACAACTAACCTAGTTTTCTTATCAATGCATTAATGAGACATTCTTATAATAAAAATATTTAATACAAGACACATTTTGCTGTGCATAATAAATTTCTCTGTTTTAAATCATTCTTTCCTTTTGAACCATTCAGTTGAAAGGTTTTCTTTCTCTGACATAGTTGATTACATATAAAATCCACAAATATAGAAATCGGGAAACAGAATCTCCTGGCAATCATATCACGGGAGTTGTTTTTGTCCTTTTGCAATAAATGATACTCAATGATAGAATGATTTTACAGATGCTTTGGAGGTGGGAGGGGTAGTGCTGCTCTGATTTCACCCTTAAGACTGCTGACAGTGAAAACATACTTTTAGGCAGTATTAGAGATCCCCGTTTTTTTTTTTTTTTTTTTTTTTTTTTTTTTTTAAGAAAAGGTATTATCCCCAAATGAAGCAAAGCAAGTACTGGGGCGGAGTCATCAGAAATACCTTGGGAGGTGGTGGGGAGGGGAGTCGGGAGCATCAGGGAAAACCCATCTCAACTCACGCCTCTCGGGGGTTGCGACCGGAAAGTCTTGCGTTTTCGTCACTGGTGCAGAAAGAACTTCCCCAGGAATGGCCAGTGGCCTTTCGCCCGTAACAAGGCCGCACGCTCAGAGCAGTCTTCCTCCTGGGCTGGGTGGACGCGGAGGCGCGAAGGAAAGCCTGCTCCGGGACTGCTTGGCGAGCAAGGCACCGCGAGGACAGGAGGACGGCGAGTATCAGAAAATCGTGGTTTCATACTTGGTATTAATGCCCCTCTTGGCTTCTTGGCCCGGCTCCACAATCCACGGTAGATTGGCCAGAGTCTTTTGCTCAGATGGGTCGATCTGCTTTAAAACAGAAAGGCTGATGCCTGTTATACGGTCGCCGCGCGGGTGCGCGCATGCACGCGGACGCCGCTGGCGAACCCACGCGAGGCCCCGCGCCCCAGGCCGGGGGCGGCGATGCTGGTCCAGGCGGCTCGCGGGCTCACTCTTTGGACACACATTTACCGCATACCGACTCTCTGCAGGGCACCCTGAGGGTGACGGTGAATGAGGCACAGCCCTTGCCCTTGTGAGCACACAGATGGGGAGCAGACAGAGGCGGATTTCAGTGCTGAGAGGTGAGATACGAGGGGAAGAGAGGGCACCATGTAGGCACACACACCTTGGGAGCCAGGGGGGCTTCATGGAGGAGGTGAATCAGGCCATGCCACTCCCCGGCTCTCACTCTCCAGTGGTTTCCATCAGTCAGTCAGAACAAAACCCGAACTCCTCACCGTGACCTCCAGTACCCCTGCCCACCTGATTTTTCTGCTCCAGCCACATAGCTTCCATGCTCTTCCTGCCCACCAAGCCCATGTCCAGGGCCTCTGCGCTCATCCTCTGCCCTGCCCGAGTTCCCTTCTCCAGACACCTGCATGCCTCATGCTCTAATGCTATCCAGGTCTCTGCTCAAATGCCACTTCCATTGCCACCTGTATTCCTAGAAGCCTTATCTGTTTACTCCTACAAAAAGCACCCCAACTTTTCTGCTGTCCTCTTCTACCTTATTCTTCACAATATTTATTGCCATTATGCATCATCACATATTTATTTGTTCATCCTCCACTGCCATGCATGCTCATGGAGGCAGGACTTTGTCTATTTTGATCACTGCCATTTTCTCCAAAACGCAGAAAAGCTTCTGGCAACCCCGTAAATAATAGGCACACAATAAATACTTGTTGAGTAAATGGTATCAAAAGAATGAGGTAATATTTAAATGAACAGCTGAAGGACCAGCAAGTATTTGCCTGAAGACAGGAGGAGGAGGCAATTGAAGTAGATGAAACAGCTCATGCAGAAGTCCCAGAATAATCTATACACAGAATAAAACAGAGCCTCATCTTCCACCATATACAGAAATCAACTCAAAATGGATTAAAGACTTAGAGGGAAGACCTGAGATGATGAAAGAACTGGAAGAAAACATTGGGGAAACACTACAGGACATTGGTCTGGGCAAGGATTTTTTGGGTAAAATTGCAAAAGCACAGGCAACAAAAGCAGAAAACAGGACATTGGTCTGGGCAAGGATTTTTTGGGTAAAATTGCAAAAGCACAGGCAACAAAAGCAGAAATAGACAAATGGAATTACACCAAGTGAAAAAGCTTCTGCACAGGAGGGCATCAACAAAGTGAAAAGACAACCTACAGAATGGGAGAAAATATTTGCAAAGTATCCATCTGACAAGGGCTTAATAACCAGAATAAATAAGGGACTCAAAAAACTCAATAGCAAAGAACAAACAAACAAACAAAAAAACAAAATCAACCCAATCTGATTAAGTAATAGGGAATAGAACTGAACAGGCATTTCTAAAAAGACGACATACAAATGGCCAACAGGTATAGGTAAAAGTGCTCAACATCACTAATCATCAGGGACATGCAAATGACAATCACAATGTGATACCATCTCACCCCCGCTGGAATGGCTACTATCAAAAAGACAAAAATTAATGGATGCCAGTGAGGCTACAGAGAAAGGGGAAACACTTCTACACTGTTGGTGGGAATCTAAATTAGTAAAGCCACTATGGAGAATAGCATGGAGGGTCCTCAAAAAACTAAAAATAGAGCTACCATATATTCCAGCAATCCCACTACTGGGTATATATACAAAAGAAAAGAAATCAGTATATCAAAGAGATATCTGCACTCCCATGTTTATTGCAGAATTATTCACAGCAGTCAAGACATGGACTCAAACTAAGTGTCCATCAGTGGATGAATGGGTAAAGAAAATGTGGTATATATACACAGTGGAATACTATTCAGCCATAAAAAGAATGAGATCCTGTCATTTGCAGCAACATGAATGAACTGAAGGTCATTATGTTGAGTGAAATAAGCCAGGCACAGAAAGACACATATTGTATGTTCTCATATGTGGAAGCTATAAAAAGTGGATCTCATGGAGATAGAGTAGAATGGTGGTTACCAGAAGTTGGAAAGTGAAGAAGGGAGAGTAGCGATGAAGAGAGATTAGTTAATAGGTACAAAAACATGGTTAAATAGAAGGAGTAGGTTCTAGTATTTGATAGCGCAGTAGGGTGACTATAGTTAACAATAATTTATTGTATATTTCAAAATAGCTAGAAGAATTGTAATTTCTCAACACAAAAGAAAAATGTTTGAGGAGATGGATATCTCAGTTACTGGTATGATCATTACATATTGTATACATGTGTCAAAATATCACATAGCAATAAAAAACAGTCCCAGAGGTAAGGGAAAATGGTCGTTGAGGGGTTGGGGTCAGTTTGCAGGGTAGGGAACAGGAGGGCAGACAACTAAGGGTGAGGAGGTGAGGGGGGCCCAGTCAGGCTGAGCCTTGAGACAAATCCTAAAATGCTTTCTTCCCTGTGCATACAAATACAATGGGCCACTCCGGGGGCGGGGCGGGGCTGTCCGCTCTCAGGAACGGCCCCAGGCTGAGATCTACACCATGGCTGCCTCTTCCTTTGGTGTTTCCAGGTCTGCCTGCCCTGTCCTAGCTGCCTGCTCTGCTCAGAACCTGGGGTTGTGGGAAGGCCTCTCCCATTTCTTTGACACCATGAGCTTTGCAGCTGCCTTTTACCGTGCCTTGACTGTATCCCCATAAGGTTGTGGGGAGGACCTCATGTGTTCTTAGGGATCACTGAATATTTCTTACCAAGAAATGCCCGGGGCTGAGGGAACTAGAGTACTAATGCCTGTCGAGGGGACTGATCTTGAAGCACATATAACATCAGTATTATTCACTGTATATTTTCCTGTTTCCCTTGAAGGCATCTGGATGAATATTCTATGAGCTCTTATGGCACCTAACCCTTTGTGCTCTTCTGGAAGAAGCCTGTGGGGACCAGGGTAAGGTCAGATAGAGGCACCTGCTGTGAACAGATTTATTTAGCCCACATAAGAATGAATACAATAGTCTGAGAGATAATCTCTAAAACATTCTGCAAGTTCCTGGACACTTAACAGCCTAATCAATCTCAAAGATATGCTTATGAAATCCACCCACAAGCCCTCATGTATTCATCCACAGATACTCACTGAGTACCTGCTATGGGCCTGGTCCTGGTGGTGACAAGACAGGTGGGGTCCCTGTGTGCATGAAACTTACGTTTTTGTGGAAGAAGATAGACAATAAACAAGCCATCAGTAAAAAACCCTCAAGTAATAAATGCTACAGAGAATTAAAAGCAGATGACATGCTTGAAGGTGACTGGGTGTCTATGTCAGATTGGGTGGTCAGGACATCCGCCTCTTCAAGTAGCCGAGACCTGAATGACACGATGAAGTCCGCCATGCAGAAACTGGGGGAGGATATTCCAGGTGTGGGGAGCAGGTGGCATAAAGGCCTCAGGTAGGAGTGAGCATTATATAATCAAGGAATGGGAAGACCTGAGCATCAAAGAGGACTGTGGTGGGGGAACTGCATTCTGGGTACTTGGGGCAGAGGGTGCCATGACTGATCTCTGCTGTGTGGGGAGGGGAGTCTCAAGGAGCTGTACTGCATAGGCCTGGGGCAAGGTGGCAGTGGCCCCAGCTGGAAGAGAGATGGAGGAAGTGGGGAAGAGTGGACGGGACTGAGATATATTTTAGGGGTAGCGTTGATGGGATTTGCTCATGGGCTGGATACAGAGGTAAGGGGAAGATGGGAATCCCGGCTGACTTGTACACTTTGGGCTTGAGTTGCATGGTGAGTGGCTGTGGGGTGGGGAAGATGGTGAGAGAAGAGCTTTGAGGGGAAAATCAGGAATTGTGTCCTGGCCATGCTAAGTTTCAGATGTCTGTGAAGCATCAAGGTGGAAATGTGAAAGAAGTTGGCCGTGTGAGTCTGGAGATACAGAACTGGGAAGCAGTGTGTTGGGTTGGGTCGGTGCTGAGTGGGAGGACCAGGGGCGCAGAGCGTGGCGTTGGAAGAAAGATTTCAGAGGAGGTGCAGCTCCTGGGGATGGTGGGTAATGAGTGATGGGCACGGGAACGAATGGCTGGGGCTGGAGGGAAAGGTCTCGAAAGTAAACTGTCAGGGAAATGTGAGACCAGATGTTGGAGGGGTCATCCCTGTGGATGTTGATATTACCAAGAAGGGTGACAGGGATAGGCCTCCAAAAGAAGACTGAAAACAAGAACTGCATCGTCACAAAAGGAGGTGCCTCCTTGCAAACGTTAAAAATGCCTGCTGCTGTTCCCCTATGACAGTGGAGGTGGGGGCTGGTGAGGAGGAGGAGAGACAGTTCCAGATGGTAGGATTCGGGGGCGTGAGAGCAATGCATTCTGGGGGAGTCCCAGGGTTTCTAGTTTCTAGGATGCAATACGGCAGCCGGGGCAGAAACCAGATGGGAGGCTGGTTGGGAAACTTCCAGCTTTTGGATATTGCTACTACCAGAGGAGGCCGCTTTGAAGTCATGCAAGCCTGTTGGGACAGGATGTCTGCAGAGCCTGTGGGAGGGAAGAGGAAGAAATTCCTGGAGGAAGGCAGATGCTGAGAAGGAGGGGCTGCACCTTCTGAACAGTCACCATGCTGCAGGAAGCCTCAGCTGCGGGAGACAAAGCACCCGGGCCATGGCGCAGGCCTTGCATATAGCAGGGCAGCCTGTGCATCCAGCTTCCTCTAGCTGGGGACCGAGGACATCATCATTGTGTACCTCTGCAAACCTCTCTGGAGGCCAGGGGCTTGCAGGAGACTTTGCCCTCTGATGAGATGGCAGCTGAAGCCCCAGGGAACACTGCTCCCAAGCTTTCCCAAACCTTTAGTTAGGTAAAATTCACCAAGAACGGCAGTACCTGCTGCTGAGACCCTTCACAGGGTTTCTGCAGGTGACTGAGAAAGTAGATTTCTCTGGAGGCTCCAGGTTGAGAGAGACGGTCCCCAAGACTTGGTGGGAACCAGGCTGAGGTGATGATTGGACACATGCCAGGAGGAGGCCAAGGTAAAGGATGAAGAAGAGGCCCTGGATTCTAATGGCACCCACACCACACAAGGGCCTGGTTAGCAGCCCCTTTCCCTCCTGTTCAAGGTTTTTGAGAACATCTGTATCTTTTTTACTTACCACGGACTTGCGAATGCTAACGCGGGGCTTGGGGATGGGTTTGGAGGGTTTGTTTTCAAAGCTTTCCGGAAGTGTGGAGGAGTGTCCCCCTTTTCTTGCTTGTAGTGCTAGCTGGTAAGCGACTTCGAATGCCTGTCCCAGGGTTAGGATGATTTCGTAGGCTAAATTCTGCAAGAAAAATTGAGAAAGCGTTTGCTACTGGCACACTGCAAATTAGAATGGGTGGAATGGCTGAGGAACCCTGAGGGAGGTGAACTAGGGAGGAACTTGAACTACTTCACCAGAGGCAGCAGCGATTCAGTGGAAATCTATGAAGAACAGGACACTCTGGGTCCAACTTAGGGTTTACAGCAGGCATTAGTCACTTGTGAAAAGAAAAATCTTGGGACCCCAAATCACTAAGATAAAGGAAAAAGTCAACTGGGAACCGCATTGGACAAACCTGCCTTGCATTCTATTCCTAAGTAACATAGCTACAAAGATAAAAAAGCTAGATACCTCCCTCACAATTTGCCCACAAGGAAATTTCCTGTGGACAAAAGACAGAACTCAAAGTCATCCCTCTGTTCATGTGTGAGATAAACGCATATCCGATTGCTTTCTTTGTCCTGTTGTTTCCCTAAGCCAGACTAAGGCATAAGTGACTATTCATGTAAATTGTGTATTCAGTGAAAGACTAATCAGAAACTCAAAATAATTCAACTGTTTGTCTCTTATCTACCTACGACCTGGAAGCCCCCTTCCCACTTCTAGTTGTCCTGCCTTTCTGGACCAAACCAATGCACTTCTTACACATACTGATTGATATATCATGCCTCCTTAAAATGTATAAAGCCAAGCTGTGCCTTGACCACCTTGGGCACATGTTGTCAGGACCTCCCAAGGCTGTGTCACAGGTGCATTTTTTTTTTTTTTTTAAGACAGAGTCTCGCTCTGTCACCGAGGCTGGAGGGCAGTGACACAATCTCAGCTCACTGCAACCTCCACTTCCTGGGTTCAAGTGATTCTCTTGCCTCAGCCTCCCGAGTAGCTGGGACTACAGACGCATGCCACCACGCCCAGCTAATTTTTGTATTTTTAGTAGAGTCGGGGTTTCACTATGTTGGCCAGGCTGGTCTCAAATTCCTGACCTCGTGATCCACCCGCCTCGGCCTCCCAAAGTGCTGGAATTACAGGCGTGAGCCACTGTGCCTGGTCCACGGGTGCGATTTTAACCTTGGCAAAATAAATGGACTGAGACTTGTCTCAGATACTTTTTGGTTTACACACTGATAGGGCGCACTTGCTTACAGATCCCCAGTTAGCCCCAGGAGGAGCAGGTTCCACAGCCCACTGGCCCCAGGAGCCCACGCCATTTAGAGCTCTCCCTGTGGGCAGCTGGTTTGCCCCCGAGGCCTTGGAAGGGAAGGAGTTACTACTGGTATTTCTGCTGAGTCCTGGGAGCGCTTCAGCCTTGCCTGTGAGGATGATCCCGCACACACCACAGGAGGTGTTCCTGAGAAGTTTGGGTCTTTTTACCTCAAACTTCTGTGATTCAGTGAACATCTATGAAACACAATCAAAATCTAATTTAGGCCTAGAGGAGAGGCATTAGTCATGCTGGTGTGGCGGCTCACAGTCGCAGCAGTGAGCACGCAAACAGTGCTCCAACAGAGCCAATTCCCCAGCGATTTCTTCAGGCTTTTGCTCTCCCTGTGGGTCCACTCTATATTTTATGATCAAATCAGCAAGAGACAGGAGATTCTGTCAGGCCAGATGCCGTGCCAAGCAGCGCCTGGGAGAAAAGTTCTTTTCCTCCGACCTTCAATCAGTCCTTTTCTCAAGACGATTTCTAGCTTTCTTCTCTTCTCCAAATCTGTATCTTTGATTTCTGCCTTTTCTTCCAAGCACAGCTCTGCCTGGTCTTCTCTCACCGAGAAACCATCACATTGTCTGACCCAAAAGAGGCAGAGTGTCCACCACACCCTGAGGTCACAGAGCGTCAGAGGAGCAGATGCATACTGGTCACAGAGAGCGTTCTGAAGGTCGCTGCGGCAGCTGAGAGCAGACACGGTCTACCCCAAGTTTTCTTATTTCTTTTTTTTTGAGACGGAGTTTTGCTCTTTTTGCCCAGGTTGAAGTGCAATGGCATGATCTCGGCTCACCGCAACCTCTGCCTCCTGGTTTCAAGCAATTCTCCTGCCTCAGCCTCCCAGGTAGCTGAGATTACAGGCATGCGCCACCACGCCTGGCTAATTTTGTATTTTTAGTAGAGATGGGGTTTCTCCATGTTGGTCAGGCTGATCTCGAACTCCCCACCTCAGGTGATCTGCCCACCTCGGCCTCCCAAAGTGCTGGGATTATAGGCGTGAACCACCGTGCCTGGCCATCCAAGTTTCCACTCTGATGAATGTCCCTAGAATGTCTGCTCATGGTTTCTCAAAAATCACAGAAATATCATTCTGCTGATGCTGATACTGCAACTAAGTGGACCCTCTCTGTTCCTGCCCCATCTCCACCCTCATCAAGCGCTCTGGGAGCCTGATTCCCACACTGCCGCCGGGGAGATGTGTTTGTGATTGCTCCCATTTGATGATGATGGAAAGGAAGATGCAGGATGGCGCCTTCTGAGGCCATGGGGAAGAGGCCCAAGGGTTCTAGACCAACCAGATTTCAGATCCATGCCAGATCTATTGTGATGGTCTCAGAACCAAGTGGGGAAAATGCCTCTGAGCTTGAGAGTTGGTTTGGGAGAGGATGTATCTGTCTCCTTTAAGTGAGTTGTCAGGAAATACTGACCCTACAAGACAGACATCTGCCTGCTGGAGATACTGCACCTTGCACAGCAAGCTGAGCACTTCCTTGCAATGAACACTGAGCCTGTGTTTGCCTCCAGAGATGAGTCAGCCTAGTAAATTAGTAACGCACCAGCAAATGATAGTGGAGGAGGCCTGAGAGACAGCTCTGACCATCACTGCACAAAGAGGGCTGAGCTCTTTCCACTGCCTACACTTGGCACTCACGTCACCGTCAGCTTTGCCTCTTAGTGTTTGCGTGGGTCCCCTCTGAAAGGCAGGCAGGGCTTCCGACTTCTGTAGTCTCAGAATGAAGATGCAGGCTCTTGCTCTTGTTCATGCTACTGTGGAAGATGGCTGATTTCCATCTGTTGGGGACATGTACCAGATATTCGTGTTCTGGGTGGGAAACTAGACTAAGATGAAGGTGTGAGATTCAGTGATTCTGTAACATGTGGTCTCTATCTGCTGTAACAGTGGAACTTAATGAGTGTGAATTCCTTTATCATTAACCTAAAAATAAGTTAGTGAAAGTGAGATCTACTTAAAGCTCCAGTATCTTCAAATTAAAGTAAGAAGACCTTTATTTGAGCAAGTGAGGTTTTTCACATGACTATGGGAAGCCTAAAGGTTTTGGGAGAGAATGTTAGAAGTCCTGCCCTTTCATTTTTAATTAGTTCCTGGCATTAGGAAACTGCTCAAATAAGATACAGAGACCAGACTGGATTAAGTTTTTCTACCTAATGGCTTCTCCTGGTTCCGCTTGCATTTTCCTTGACATCTTGCTTTGGTTTTATTTGAGAATGCTTTGCAGAGTTTCTTTTGTGATTATGTATAGCACAGGATTGGACACTGTTACCTTTCCTCTTTTGTCTGCAGCCTTACTGTTTGTGGTACTGATGCTGGGTGCCAGGAGGGTCCATCGGCACTGAGACGCACCTTTCAGGCACTCTGTTGCCCATCCCGACACACCAGTGCCCTTTTGGGGAAACAGATGCTCATCCCATGGGACCTGAGGACACATGTGTGAATGGGGAAAGAACCCCCATCTTTTTGTAGATTCATTTCTCCTGCCGCTCCTATCAACATTCCTACTATCTGAAATGGGAGAGTTGCTATCATGTACGAGGAGACTCTACTGGGATGAGGCTGAAAATTATATTGTAAAATCAGAAGGCCTAGGTGAGAAGCCCATCTTGCAAACCTCAATGATGCTGGCTGGCTCTGAAGAGCCCATGGTGACACCCAGAAAATCTGAAAGCCCAACTGTCTCTGCCTTCAACATATTTTCCCTGCAACTGTGGGGAGGCCAGTGCCTGGTAGTGGGCCTGGCACATTGCAGGCACTGAAGGAATGCTTGCTTGCTTGCTAAATGAATGAATATCCAAAGGAGGAGCTGGAGTAATCATAACATTTCTAGTTAATACTCAGTCTAGTTACCATTAAGGGAGAACTTAATAGGTGTGAGGGATGTGCCAAGCCTTATCTTTGTTTCATTTAAGTCTTCCCACAATCACGTGCAGTAGCATATTATCCTCATTTTATAGATGAGGCAATGGAGGCTCAGAGGGGTGAAATAACTTTCCAGACATCACAGAGATAGAAAGTTACAAAACTTGACATGAGCCAGTATCTGTGCTCAAAATCCCCTGCTCTTGGCCCAACCCCTGTGTCTACCCTGCTTGTCTCTAAGATGACTGCCATCAACTCTCCCCTCCTGTGCACACCATGGTGTTTCCCTGTTGAGAAGCTGAATCTGCTCTTTGAATCTGGACTGGTTTTACTGACTTGCTTGACCCATAGGATGTAGCAGAAGCAACATGCTGAACTTGTGAGGCTGAATCATGAGGAGTCTTGCAGCTTCCTCCTGGGCCTCTAGGAACGTTACTCTGGAGGAATTAGTCATGTAAAAAGTCTCACCATCCTGGCTGGACACGGTGACTCACGCCTGTAATTCCAGCACTTTGGGAGGCTGATATTGTTTAGCTGTGTCCCCACCCAAATCTCATCTTGAATTATAGCTCCCATAATTCCCACATGTTGTGAGAGGGACCTGGTGGGAGGTAACTGAATCATGGGGGAGCGTCTTTCCCATGTTGTTCTTGTGACATTGAATAAGTCTCACAAGATCTGATGGTTTTATAAATGGGAGTTCCCCTGTACACGCTCTCTTGCCTACCGGCACATAAGATGTACCTTTGCTTCTCCTTTGCCTTCCACCATAGGCCTCCCCAGCCATGTGGAACTGTGAGTCCATTAAACCTCTTTTCTTTATAAATTACCCAGTCTTGGGTATGTCTTTATTAGCAGTACTAGAACAGAGTAATACGGAGGCTGAGGTGGGTGGATCACTTGAGGTCAGGAGTTCAAGACCAGCCTGGCCAAAATGGTGAA